CCGGAAGTGTGTCGTAAGGCCACACACACCGCCCCCAACGGTCCCGGCCGCCACCGCCGGCCTTGCAGCTCCACTGCTGAGCCCCATGAGGGGCCCGGCGGTGGACCTGCAAGGCCGTCGAGAGTGCAAGGAAGCCCCGCGAAGGCCCTCCCTGGCCCCAGGCAGGCAGGGATGGGGAGAGGCAGGGAGGAAGCAACTTACCCTCCCTCTTCTCCTGCCTCCTCCTGGCTGAATGAGGGCCGGAAGCAGGGGGCGGGGCTTCATCATGTGCCCCGCCCCTCGTACCTCACCCGTGGGAACGGCGATCCCCCGCGAAATGACCTCTGCTTCCTCCACTTCCAATTCAAAGGGAACAATAAGCAGACATCTTGACACTGCTTCTTTGATCTCTGTCAGTTCCCCGCCCTTATTTTCCCCTCTGTATTTATCACCCCGCCATGAATTACTTGGCCAAGGCAGCTCATGACTGCTGAGGCAAGTACTGACACAGGAAAATCTGCATACCAACAGAGGACCGAGTGTCGAAAACAAAATAGATGGCAAGCTGACACTAGCTGATGCAGAAACCAGGATCCGAGGCAATGCAATGAGCACAGATATTCTGAGGCAAGGGGGAACCAGGTCAAGTGCTGATAAATTGTGGAGCGAATGCCAGACGCCGAATGGACCGAGGTCACATATCGAAGGTTAGCGACAATAGTTTTGTTAAGAGAAAGAACTGTGTAGCCCAGCAGTTCCCCTGGTTTCTAAGTGCTTTTTGGTCCTCGTTTGCTGTTTGACTTGTGCAGATAAAATCTAAAATATATGGAACGGAACAGGGGGGAAATAGAGAACTTTAGGCCATCCCCCACTATAGTTGCCAACTCCAAGTTGGGAAATGCTTGGAGAGTTCAGGGTGGAGCTTGTGGCAGGTGAGGGACGTCAGTGGGCTATAATGCCATAGAGTCCACCCTCTAAAGCAGCCATTTTCTCCAGGGGAACTGATCTCTGAAATAAGACTTCCAAGTTCCTGTTGGGGCCCGGAGATCTGGAATTCCAGCTGAACTCTAAACTACTAAACTCTAAACATACCTATGGGACCGCCTTTCCCCGTATATACCCCAGAGAGCACTGCAGTCTGGTTCTCAAAACCGGTTGACCCTCCCTGGCCCGAGGGAGGTCAGGCTAGCCGCTACTAGGGCCGGGGCCTTCTCGGTGGCGGCCCCTACCTGGTGGAACAAGCTCCCGGAGGAGATCAGGGCCCTGCGGGACCTCTCACAGCTCCGCAGGACCTACAAGACGGAGCTCTTCCACCAGGCATATAACTAGGAGCCGCCGCCACCGCCTTAGTGCATGGCCCGTAATGTTGACATCAGCAGCTGCCTCAAGAACGAGCAAAATGACATCCAAACACTTATGTGGAATAACATCGAAGCACTTTCATTTGAGAACATCTCATTTGCTTATTTTCAACTGCCGCCAGTACTTTGCAACATTTGTAATGCACTATTTTAATCGTTGTGTTTTAATTCTGCACTATTTATGCTTTTATTCTGTATTGTTGTATTGAAGAAGAAGAAGAAGAGATTGGATTCATACCCCGCCCTTCACTACCCAAGGGAGTCTCAGAGCGGCTTACAAACTCCTTTCCCTTCCCCTCCCCACAACAGACACCCTGTGAGGTCGGTGGGGCTGAGAGAGCTCTGCGGCAGGGATCCTGTGAAGACATGCGGATCCCCCGCCGCCACTTGGTAAGCCTAGGTAGGTGGGGCTGAGAGAGCTCTGACAGAGACTGCTCTTTTTCAAGGACACCTCTGACAGAACTACGGCTTGCCCAAGGTCATCCAGCAGGTGCAAGTGGAGGAGGAGTGGGGAATCAAACCCAGCTCTCCCAGATTAGAGTCCGCGCACTTCACCACTACACCAAACTGGCTCTCCAAACTTCTTGTTGTTGGAAACACCAAACTTGTTGTTGGAAGCCGCCCTGAGCTTGCTTTGCAGGGCGGGCAGGGTATAGATTTGACTATAAATAAATAAATAAATAAAATATCAGTTCCCCTGGAGAAAACGGCTGCTGTGGAGGGCGGACTCTATGGCCTCGTACCCTGATGAGGTCCCTCCCCTCCCCAAACACTGCCCTCCCCAGGTTCCACCCCTAAATCTCCAGAAATTTCCCAAACCAGATCTGGCTGATTAGCAAAACGCAGAGCATGTTTTGGCAAAGTGCAGACCCTTCAACACAGCCGCAGAATTAGGGCTGCCAAGTCCCCTGGGGGGGGCAGGGATCCCCCCACTAAAAGGGCCCCCAATCCGTCGGTCTGGATCTGGCCGGCGGGGGGAACCCCACCCCCAAAGTGGCCAGATAAGGCCGACATGCCCGGCGCGATGACGTCACCCGGAAGTGACATCATCACACTGGGCACATCGCCGGGTGACGCTCTAGCAATCACCCTGAAAACTCTATGGTACCATAGAGATTTTAGGGCAATTGCTAGAGCGTCACCCTGCAACCTGCCCAGTGCCTAGCGTGATGTTGCATTTGTATCGGATTAACTCTCCATGTCACTGCCCTGAGCCCTCACTGTACCTCACTGTACTGGGTGACCTCGGACCAGTCATTTTTGTTCGGCCTGGCCCACCTCACAGGGCTTGTTTTGTCAGGATAACATGTGGAAAAGAGAGCCACGCATGCCGCTGCCCCCAGACTCCCTGGAGGGAAGGCAGGATAAAAAATGTGCCAGGTAGCTAGACGGGCCTGACAAACCTTTTCAGCCCGGGCTCTTTGCCGAGTGCGCTTCTGAGGGAGCGGTTTCAGCGGCACTGCCTTTTGAGGCTGTGTTTTGTGCCTGAGGACACCTGTCACCATGGAAGGCGACAGAGGCCTAACAGCTCATGTCACGCAGGCCGCCAGACAGCTGCCCAGCCCTCCCGGCCTTCTATCATTGCCTGCCGGAGCACCTGACGGACGTGGGCAGGCTGGCTCCGAGTGCCTCATACGTGCTTCAGCAGCTCCCAGAGGAGCGGGCGCGGCGCGGCCGATAACGACCAAATCGTGTGGCGTGTGCGGGGGGGGGGGCCTTGAGGCTTTCATCTGCCCGCCGATCAGCCACAAAAGATGACTTCATCGCTGAAACTTCCTTTCGAGAAGCGTGCCCGTGCCCGAAGATTGACAGAGTCCCCTTTCGAGCCAAAGAGGGCTTTGGAAGGAGGCGACGGATGGGTCATTCGCCATGGCATGTTAGAAGGGACTAGAAAAATCCATCTAGTCTTAGGGATGCCAGCCTCCAGGTGGGACCTGGGGATCCCCTGGAATTACGGCTCACCTCTGGACTACAGAGATCAGTTCCCCTGGGGGAAATGGATGCTTTGGAGGGTGCACATTAAAGTCTCTGTCCTGCCCAGGCTCCATTCCCTAATCTCCTGGAGTTTCCCAACCTCGATCTGGCAACCGTACCCCCCTCATCCCTTCCTGGTCGCCAGGGGGAACCCTTGCTGGTCGCCAGGGGGAACCTGGAAACCATATGACAGGCCCAGTCTACGGGAGTTTCTCCCCTGGAATTACAATCTATCTACAGAGGAAGAGGAAGAAGAAGAGAGAGATTATACCCCACCCTTCACTACCCAAAGGAGTCTCAGAGCGACTTACAAACTCCTTTTCCTTCCCCACCCCACAACAGACACCCTGTAAGGTACACGGGGCTGAGAGAGCTCTTGACAGAAACTGCCCTGTCAAGGACAGCTCTTGTGAGAACTATGACTTGCCCAAGGTCATCCAGCAGCTGCAAATGGAGGAGTGGGGGAATCAAACCTGGTTCTCCCAGATTAGAGTCCGCACACTTAACCAGAAGTTTTATTTCATCTATGAGGGTCTACGTTTATCTTGAGGTCGAAATTTTTAGATTACACAGTAGAATGACTTTGGGTTGTCAGACAGTGGGGGGGTGGGGGGGTGGGACAGTGTCCCAGGAGAAAAGTTCAAAAAGGAAAATAAGGCCTTGTCTGCTTACAGGAAGTTCTTATCAAAAGAGATCCTGCTGATTCCTACAGATTCCCGGAAGTGACACAGGGTAGCTCTAGGAATCTCCAGAAACTCTATGGTAAATACAGCCGTCCCCTCCGGGGGCTGGGCAGCCCGAGAACCACTTTCGGCAAACCAGTGGCTTCGGACAGCCTCGTTCAGATTAGAAACTGAGCGGCCCAAGGTTTCCTTCGCACCCCTGAATTTGGCTATCAATTCAGACTGCCGTTCCATCTCCTCCAAACAGAACTGCACTACCTTTATCCAATGTCATTGTGAGGATAACCATCATAATAGTTCAACTATGGCCACTCACCTTTGACTGTGACCAGCACGGAGCTGTACGTCTGCCCCGCCAGGTTGGAAGCCGTGCAAGTATAGAGACCGTTATCTATCTGCTTGCAGAAGAGGATCTTCAGCACAAAATTCTCCTGCTCGTCCTCGTAAATGATGTGTCTCCGCCCTTCCAGGATGACCTCTCCGTCCTTCTTCCACACAATCTCCGGCTTGGGTTCTCCCGTAACGTAGCAGCTCATCTTGGCATGTTTCCCCTCTGTCACCGTGAAGCTGCGCGTCGTCACGCCGTAGGAAGAACTGTCGCTCCGGAAGCTCTTGGCGGTCAAGCTGGCGGCCCTCTCGTAGTCGAGGGAGAGGTTCAAGCCGATTTTTGACCGTCCTTCGGTGGAGGAGTACGCCGTGGAGATCACCGAATCGGTAGTGGATAGGTCCGTCTTTCTGATCTCTTCCCGCCTTTTTTGCAAGTGTGACAGCAGCGGCGAAGTCTGGCTGTAGCCCGTGTCTACGCTGTGCCGAGTGCCACCCGGGCTGTAAGAATCTGGACTATCCACAACCAATGCGGCCGCGGCACTGGCGGCCCCAAGAGGGTTTTCTGCGCGGCAGGTGTACGTCCCGCTATCCACCAACCGCGTGCTTTGGATCTTGAGGGCGTTCTTCTCCCCCTGAGAGTCAATCTGGATACGGTTAGACTCTGCCCGCCCGCCCAGGTGCCGCCCGTCTTTCTCCCAGTTCACAGAAAGAGGAGGGCTGCCCTGAACGATGCATTTGAACATGGCGTCTTCCCCCATGATCACTCTGATGGACGTGGGCTTCTGGATGAAGTAAGGGGCCGATTCGGTCACAGTGGTTTGCTCCCCGACTTTGATACTGACGGCGGCGAAAGCTTCCCCGATGGTGTTCTTGGCCCGGCAGATGTACTGGCCACTGTCTTCCAGGCTGAGGTCATAAATCGTCAGACGATACAAGTCGCCGTCTTCCACCATTTTAAACCTTCCCCCCGTCTGGATAGGGAGTTTATCTTTCTCCCAGCTCACCAACGGAATGGGGTTTCCAATGATCTGGCAGCTTAGGGTGGCATCTTTCCCCATGGATACCACGAAGGCCTTAGGCCTGGTCAGGAACCTTGGAACGCCGCTGTAGGAACTGTAGTCCATCTTGAGGTCCTAGGAAGAAAAAGGCAACCGTAAAATACTTCATTGCGAGAAACAATCAAACTTTCGGAAACCTCAGAATAGGTCAGCATTTGTCAGAGGTCACGTGGACTTTCTGGACTGTAAGGAATACTGCCCTGGAAGACCAGATAATGAAACTGAAGCTAAAATACTTTGGACACCAAATGAGAAGGGAGCACTCCCTGGAGAAGACCCTGATGCTGGGAAAGATTGAAGGTCAAAGAAGACGGGGACGGCAAAGGATGAGATGGTTAGACAGTGTCACAGATGCAACGAACATGAAATTGAGCAAACTTCAGAGGACGGCGGAAGACAGGAGGGCCTGGCGGGATCTGTCCATGGGGTCGCGAAGAGTCGGACTCAACTGTGCGACTGAACAACAACAACAACAAGGAATAGCTGTTTCTCGTCCTTCAGTCATTCACCCTGTGAACTCCGAGGTGGTCAATCTATCTCTATGCTACCCTTTGAAAGATCACATAAGAACGTAAAAGAAGCCATGTTGGATCAGACCAATGGCCCATCCTATCCAACACTCTGTGTTACACAGTGGCCAAAGACAAGGGGCCATCAGGAGGTCCACCAGCAGGGCCAGAACTCCAGAAGCCCTTCCACTGTTGCCCCCCCCAAGCACCTAGAATACAGGGCAGCACTGCCCCAGACACAAGAACATAAGTGAAGCCATGTTGAATCAGGCCAATGGCCCATCCAGTCCAACACTCTGTGTCACACAGTGGCCAAAACCCAGAGGCCATCTGGAGGTCCACCAGAGGGGCCAGAACTCCAGAAACCCTCCCAACTGTTGCCCCCCCCAAGCACCAAGAATACAGAGCATCACTTGCCCCAGCCTGAGAGTTCCTATCTATACCTTGTGGCTAAGAGCCACGGATGGACTTCTGTTCCAGATGTTTTTTTCAGTCCTGTCTTGAAGCCATCACAACTGTTTGCACTCACAAGCAGTGTTCCCTCTAAGCTGAATTAGTGTGAGCTGGCTCACAGTTTTTTAGCCTCCAACTCACACAGTTTTGTCTTAGCTCAGGAAGGACGGCTCCAGAGCAAGCTAATATATGCCGTAGCCAAATCGCTCGCTTGCCACTTTAATGCCAGTAGCTCACAAAGTCGAATATTTTGCTCGCAAGACTCCACAGCTTAGAGGGAGCATTGCTCACAAGGTAATTAGTTCTTCATACTTTCCCCATTTGCATCATCCCCTTTTAGTAGCCTCAAAGTCCCACCCACACATACTAGAAACTCCTCACATGTGACGGCTCCCAAAAAGAATCAGCGTGTTCATTTCTATACACAACAGGGCCATAGCATCATCCCACTAAATACATGACTGCAGAACCACTGTCCAAAATGTCTGACTGGCTCACCCAAATCAAGACATTGGATCATAGAATCACAGAATCATAGAATGTTAGAGTTGGAAGGGACCTTGCAGGTCATCTAGTCTGACCCCCTGCACTCTGCAGGAGCATAGCCGAAAGATAGCCCTACAACATACCCGAAAGATGGCCATCCAGCCTCCGCTTGAAAACGTCCAGTGAAGGAGCCTCCACCACCTCCCGAGACAGACTGTTCCACTGCTCAGCCACTCTCAGTTAGGAAGTTTCTCCTGATATTTAGCCGGTATCGACTCCCTTGTAATTTCCACCCATTAGATCTAGTCTTGCAATCCGGAGCAAGAGAGAATAGATTCGCTCCATCTTCTACATGACAGCCCTTCAAATACTTGGAGACTGCAATCATGTCCCCTCTAAGCCTTCTCTTTCCCAGGCTAAACAGACCCAACTCTTTCAGCCTTTCCTCATAAGACCTGGATTCCAATGAATGAGTCATTTCTAACATCACCAAGTGAGGTTCTATCTAGACTCACCAATGTCCACTCCCTACTGAATTAATGGATCACAGAGCATGTGAAACCATGCCTTTACTCAGATAATCTATTGCTTAGATCATGTGTGGTACTGTCTGAATAGGCCAGAATATAAGAGTTAGATTTAGGTGTTGGTCTGAAGCAGCAGACCAAAGTCCGAGTCCAACAAACATTTATTCAAGGTATAAGCTTTTGTGTGCAAGCACACTTCCTCAGATACACTGGAACAGACTTCTGCAACCATTACATATAGAGAGTGGTGGGGGTTTAATTGCCAGGAAAAGCTAGTTAGAGTCAAGATGTATAAGTAACTGGGCAATAAATATAGCTAAGATTAAAGCCCAGTTACTTATGGATCTTGACTCTGACTGGCCCTTCCTGACGTCCCCCCCCCCCATTTTCCTGTATGTAGGGCTTGAGGAAATTCTGTTTCACTGTATCTGAGGAAGTGTGCTTTCACACAAAAGCTTATGCCTTGAGTAAAACTGTGTTGGTCTTAAAAGTGCCCCTGGACTCAAACTTAGTTCTACAATAGAATTAGTACAGCATAGTAGTTAGAGGGCCCCAGGAGGACCGGATGGACCTCCGTTCAACTCCCTCTTTAGTGGTCCAGCATGGATATGCGTGCCTTTTCCCCTCAACGTTGTGTGTTACGTCCCCAAACCAACAACAAAACCCTCTCGTGATAGTGTCGAAGAATTTCGGTGAGGCTTAATATGAAAAGCAGAAAGTTAAGAAGTGGTTGTCCCCAACACGTCATCTAAGACCCGCTTAATAGCGGAAGTTACAAGACTCACCAACCTTGTTCTTTACCTCTTAAAACCAGGGGTCATTTCCTGCAGGAGCGCACAGGAGCGGAGCTCCGGCAGTAAGGAGCCCAGGGGGCGGGCACATGCAACAAGCCCCACCCCCTGCTCCCAGCAGCCCTCAGTCAGGCCACGAGGAGCAAGAAGCAGCCAGGTAAGTTGCAGAGCCCCCCCCCCGGCCCACCTTCAGGTACAAGCGCTCCCTCCTCTGTGAGGGCAGATCTGCGTGTGTGTCCCCCCCCCCCCCCAAGACATAGAAATCCAAAACGCTCAGTTGGCACT